CAAAACACTTTACACTACGTGTCCGGTCTATGTGTTCTCTGGTTAGTGATATGGCAAAAACTATGTTGTTAGGGCAACACTCCTCCAGGGCTGCATTGGCGCGATTAAAATAAATATCGATTTGGCGCGCATTCAACAGCTGTGTAACGTTGCCTATCGAATCGAGGAATATTTTTCTACCCTTCTTATTTGAATTTTCGTTCTCCCTCTAACTCCAGCTACCCCCTTTGGAGAGCGCAGTCTCCCCAAAAACCCACCACCCAAAAATTATTGCGCAGTTCTCTTCCGCAATTACAGAAACGTTAGCGTTCTCGTTCCAACCCGCTGCGCGTATAGAAAGCAAAACAAAACTATGCAATAGAAAAACAAAATAGGCTACGCCAGCCGTAAAATTTTCTCTGCTAGTCGCACCGTGACACTCAGACCCAACAGTCGCAGTTGAGCACTTTTTGCCGGCATAATTAACACATTGTACACTTATCTAGTTTCAACAGAAGTATAATAATAATAAAAATAAAAAATAAGTGAACAAGCAGAACCAATTAAAGAAAAAAAGTAATAACGGAAATTTTTAAAGTCTAAATAATTTTGCAAGCATTCGCCGATAAGATAATGATGTCAAAATGAATTTGGTGAGTACAAAAGGCGTAGTATAAGTTGTATGTCTGCGTGTGTATCTGTGTGTGTGTCTGTGTGTGTGTCTGTGTGTGTGTGTGTGTAGAGAGTGGCTTTCAAAAGGATATTCGCTTTTGACTTCGCTTGCACTTCATTCATACGATGCGCAATCGTCCATATTCCATTTCCCAGTTCCATGCAATTCCATTTGCAACCCTCTCTCTATCTCCCTCTCTCTCTCTCTGGCTGTCTCTGTCTAGCTTCGCCGCATCTATTTTCGCCTTACATCACGTAGTTTTGTGCGCATTGCTTAGCATTGCATTTCATTCATGCCGCCTCATCTCACCTCCCGCCCCTTAGGTTCAATAGACAACCCGTCCGCCCACTCGCACACTCGCCCATTTGCCCACATTGATGTGAATCGTAGTTTCGCGTTTCGTAGAATTTTCCCATTTGTAATTGCCGCCCAATGTCATATTGCTAATTGTTGTTGTTATTCCACATGTTCTTAATGACAACAGCTTTGTCTATTTGTTTTGCTATTTTAATCAGCTGTTACCTCATTTCCTAAGTTGCAAGCGTGCTGACTATCTGGTTTTAAAGGCTTTCGAAACTATTATGGGCGGAATTTCTACACTGCTAGGAAAGTTTGGCAACCTTTGATTTTATGAACTGTGAACTATATATAACATTTTAATATATTTTCTGACATCATTCATATTTTATTCTATGTTTTTATTACCTATTTTTTTCTTATCTAATGCTCACAAATTGATAAGACTGTCAGCTGCTTTTGAAAGAAATACATGCATACATGTTTATTCAGTAAAGCATGCTGGTATGACACTTAATTAAAAATACGAAATCGAACTGTAAATGTATACACAGTTTGCACAGTTGGTTTTCGTGTTGCAACTGCATTGCTGCAATCGTAGCCAAGCAGTATGCAAGAAGTGCATTTGCAAGCAGTATACGACAGTGTACAAAGCAGTGAAGTTTTGAATATATATTTGCTGCACAAAGATTTTATCTTCACTTATACGGTAGGTGTGTATGTTGTTGCAACATGTATGTATATATGAATATACCTATGTATGTATATATGCCCATCATCAATTTCCCGCACGTCTCTTGTCCTACTGTTGGCCTGCCGTCAATTGTTCGTGTTGCTTCTTTGAAGCATTAAGGATCCTGCAGCCTGTTCAGCCAGCTGGCAGCTGTTAGCTGGCAAACGTCTTGTGCCCCGTTCTTGGAACACGCACACAATAAGGATACAACAGGATCAGGCAACAGCTGCACGCACCTTTTTTGATCCCTTTCGGCGTTCAGCTGCTGGCACACGTCCTTCAATGTCCTGGGCTCTGTTTGAGCCAACCAGTGCCAGCCGCCATAGGGAGAAGGAAACAGATGTTGTAATACAGGCAAACTAATCAAGTCTCTTAGTTGTTGTTGTTGCTGTTATGACACCTTTTGCAAGTAGCGAATGCGAAATGCGAAAAAATCCAATAAGAAACCGGTTTAGCTGCATTTGACTGTCAATTAAAACAGAAACAAAATGTATAAATGTATTACTAAACACATAGCTGCGCAGGTGAGTTGCGTTTGTATTTGTTGCTGACTAACAACGACAACAACAACAGCACAACTACTACTACTACTACAACAATCAGACGCGAGTGCAACAACTTTAAAAGGCCTTGCAAGGCCGTTTTTATAGCAACATTTACCACAAGAGTCGAAGCTCGATTCTGATTGGGGTTTGCCTGATCTTCTGAATCTGCAGAATTATGCTCACAAAAATAGAAAAGATTTTTCTACTTGGCAAGCGTCTAGACAGCGTTTACATTATTATGTTTCTTTTTTGTTTTTTGGAAAATGCGTCGCGACGTCTCGTATGTTAATTTTAGCCACGTTTTATTTATAAAAACAAAAGCAAACAGAAATAACGGAAAATCAAAGTTCAAATTTTGAAACTGCAATGCTTTGGTTGCTAAATACATGACTCGCACTGTAGTCTGCATTTTTGCATTATTGCAACATTTTTGTTTTATTATTTATTTATATAATTTAATTCTAGTCAGCTGCTTATTGTGAGTGTGTGTGAAATGAAAGAAAATACGTGCTGGTATTTCCTTTCAATAAATTTTACATACATATGTATGTATATGTATGTATATAAAAAAACCCGCTTAGCAATAGTTATTATCGCACTAGCTGGAAAGCAATACGAGAACAAAGGCTCTTTATTATTTTTTATGAGTTAATAATTCAAAGAATATACGCTATAGATCAATTATGGATTAATTGAAATGTCATTCTTTAACTTAGAAAAAAATGAAAAATTTCTTTTTTATACTACATACATACATATATGTATGTATATATTTTCTTAAAATGATTGAATGATAAAACCAAGGGTTTATTGAAAAATTACAATATAATAGACATTTAATCATAATTATTGCAATCCATTCTGGCATTTAGCGCTTCCGAGAAACATTTAAAAGAGTATGTGAAATATTACTAAGTTTCAATGACAAACAAACATTTCAGTGTCTTACTTTCTGACTAATCGTCTATCAATTATAATAATCATAGTTAATTGCATTCACTAAATAGGATCTATATACTTACATAGGTATTCTCTATAAACTGGTTACAATCGTTGCATTTGATAAATCGATGTACTAGATAATTACATAACATGAGATGTACACATACATATATGTAAATACCTTTTCCTATATACTGATAATACACATACATACATATGTACATAAGTGCATACTGCTTTAGGTATTTACATATCCCTATCGCTTATCGCCTACGCTCGACTTGTTTATATAGAAATTAATAAACAATGGCCATGGAGCATTATCAGCTCGGTTGATTTGGTGGCTGTAACTTTTATCGCGTTATTGATATTATTTGCAGCTGCCAATGTCTAAAATAAAAATGTAGAAATGTATACAATATTTAAGCCGGGTCCAGGACAGGTAAGCGAGTGCAGTGGACCATATGTATGTGCAGGCACTCACAAACACATTCACAAATAAATATGTGTATATGTATGTACATACCACACGGTAAATACATACATACATAAACATAAAAGCAGCTGCTGTCGACGTCGCTCTGCCGGCGTCGCCGACCGTGTTAGCGTCTGCGTCTGGAAGGTGCTCGTCAATGATGGGCTGCAACGACGTGTCATGACGGTGCATTGACACGCGCCAAGAGTCAAAGACTGGACGAGGCCGATGGAATTGCCAGGCGCATGCTCCTGGGCCATGGCTAAAAAATCAATGATCCTAGACTGTTGCAGTTGCAGGCGAGCCATTTAACGCTGGTTGGAAAAGGATAACTGTATTGCAGCCAGCAGTCCTGTTGTGCGGTTGTACGGTACGCCATCTTGCGTACTAATACTTGCCGTAGTAGAAGTTGTACGGGTGTATTGGGGGCGTCATTGTAAAGCCAATGCAGCCAGATGAGAGCAAAGCGTAGCGGGCTGGCAACCTCCTATTGTGTATGTTTGTGTGTATGTACAGACATATGGACGTCTGCAGTCATACAAACATGCATATGTACATACATACATACATATGTATGTTTTTTATGCTTTTCTGATGGCAAGCCAGCACAATGAGCAGCAATAGTTTTTACTGAAATATCACTTAAATGTTTTTGCTCCTTTACAAATTAACAAAATTGCAAAGTTCTAAGAAGTGAATCCAAAAAACGTAAGAAAATATGTATGTACGTATGTTCAAGCAACATCTATATGCTGTCTGAATGCAAACATATACATATGTATGTAGATATATAAGTGTGTGTGCGTGTGTATGTGCACACGTACATCTGTTTTTCTCTCTTTCAGTGGTTCAGCGTTCGTTCGTTGTCGGGGTTGCTATCGACACTGCTTGCGCTTGCCTTGCCTCGCCGCTTGTCGTGTCTTGTCTTTTCGTGTCGTTCGCTTTGGCTACAGCCGTTCGTATGTTTTCGGTTCATTTTCAGTTCAATTTCGAAGCTCGAATAGTAAAGAAGCTATGGATACGCAACAATTTTGATCACTTAATGCATTTAGAAATTCACTATTAAAAGCAAAGAAGAAAAAATAAGTGTTTTGATTTTGATATTGCGGTCTCAATCTAAATTGTGATATTGGTAGTATTTTAACAGCAACAAGAAAGCAAAATAAAATAAAAATACATACAGCAACGTCTGCGTCTCTGTAATTGTGTGTTTTTCCGTTAACGTCTTCGTCAATTCGTATCTCGGAAAGAAACAAATCAATAATCGTAAAGCAAGACAAGCAGAAAGTACAAAATCGTCTGGAATCTCAGCAAAGACTATAATATTAAATATAACTAGAAGTGAGGAGAACTTGAATTTTTCAATAAAAAGAGAAAAATTGTCAAGGTGAGTCGGAGTTGTATTTTTATAAGGCATTTAAATTAACTTGAATTTAGATATAACCCCAAAAACGAAAACGTGACATCACAAAGCTAAAGCTGTTTTTTTCCTCTATGTATGTATGTACATACATATATATGTGTGTATATGTTTGCCTGCACAATGTACATTAATTAAAGCTACAGCTTACAAATATACAAAACCACACACGCGCACACACACCATCAAACGAGTGCTAGTGAGTATTTTATTCGTGCACAAGACAAAACAGAAATAATCAGTTTGCCTTATAAACAAAAAAAAATTATATCATCGGATTTGAGCCATCCAATTCAAAAATTCACTTTTAGGGTGTAAATTAGAATATATAATTAGTAAACTAGTAAAATATTTAATCAGCATAGCTTGAAATATGTTCATTTAGAGTAAAACGAATTTGACACTTTTGCCGGGTGAGCAATGTTCGTTTTTTTTCTCTCGCTCTCGCACATTCGTTCACTCGAGAGGCAAGAGGTCGTTTGCGTAAAAAGATGGCGGCTGCAGAGTTGCTAAATGTTGCTTTTGTTGATTTTAGTCGAATTTATTTACAAAATTACATTTTTTATTACTTAAAATTGTACCTTCTGAAATGTGTTTTCCATTAATATTAAGTAAAATATGACACACTGTTTACGTTAGCATTTGTGACTCTTAAAGCAAATATTTTGAAAATGATGGCAACCCTTTTTCTCATTGTGAATGAGCAGCACTGATGGCGCTTAAAAAAACATTCGCATTTATGTGAAAGAGACGATTGTATCCAAAAGAGTGTGAGAGGAGGGAATATTGTGTGAGTACCGACATATACACAATGCCAGACACATATTTGTTTTCGTTGGAAATTTCGACTACGCAATTTTCGGCGTTATTGTTGTCTATATACATATTTAACCGATGACTATAGTATGCAAAACAATGTTGTCCAATTAATATTTTCAGGCTAGAAGGTCAATCGCTATGACACACGATAGGCTATAGAACTTGTTCTAATTAGATTAATTATTCTGTTTACATTCTGGTCCTCTCTCTATTTATTATTTACGTAGTATTTTTACTCTCGCATCATTCATCATAATAAACATAGTTTGTTGGCTGATGACGCGTCATTTCTGGCTCCACTTTTTACTACATCCGATGAGTGTGTACACATACTCACACACATACATACACATACTTCCTTTACACACTCATTTAATCCCCCAAGCCCAGCAAAGAAGTATTTAGAGTTTTTGTTTTTCTTTGCTTTGTTCCTCATTTCCGTTTGCAGCGGAAGTGGTTCGCTCATGCGTGCGCCGCGTTTCACTCTGCAGCGAACACATAAACCATGGCCAAAGAGACCAAGCCAGGCAGCCATCGAATTGCAGTGTTGCCAATTTTCACAGAGGCTTGTGAAGTTTTTATGCTCCACTGCTTTGAACTTTTGCGCTCGATTCGCAGAAGAAAAAGAGAGAGAGAAAGAAGGCAGAAGAAAATAAATACAGCAACAAAGAGAAAGTATCAACTCAAGCTTTTTCAGCTCAAGCTGGGGCTACTCTTGATTGTTATTGTTATTGGAATAACAATAAAAACACCCGCACCAAGCCGACGCCTACGCGGAGTAGAGCCCCGGGGCCAACGCTGGTGGTCGATGGTTTACCCATACCCTACGCCTACGCTCACAATGCTGAACTGAACTGAACTGTTGACTAGATTTTCCACGCTTTTCACCAATAAAGCGATAGATAACTCTGCTTAATAAACGATTCTCACGTATATGTAGCTCGAAAACCGAGGAAATTCTGTAAAGTAGTTTCGAGTCTTTTCCTTTTTTTTCTAAAGATTTCACATTGTCTTTTGTGTTTGTCCCTTCGCTATCGCCAGCAGACGCGACGGCAATCAGCATGAATGGACCAGGGCGCGGCGGCCCTTGAAAGAGATATAAATGGGAAGGAGTGGGAGAGGTTGAAGAACAAATGCTGGCAGCAGAGCGCTGTAGAGATGCAGAGATGTAGGAAAATTACTTTGGAATTCCCGGAATTCTCTGGGCTGAATCATCTCGAATGCGAGACGACCTTTGAGTCTTGGCCGCGTGAAAAACGACCTTTCATCCATTCTACACACTAACAAGGCGCATTTAATGCGTGTGCCTGTGTGTGTGTTTTCATGAGAGCGTACCCACATTCCAAGTCTCATAGATGCTGCCAGTTAGATAGAGAGAACACAGCACGACTTGACTTTGGGTTTGAGATGAAGAACAAGACTATGGGCAACGGGTCTTTGAACTGAGCCGCCGTTAGGTTTTGGGCAATCGATCAATGTTCAATATGCGAGAGAGCGAGACAGCGATTGAGACATAGAGAAAGAGAGAGAGAGCGAGAGCACAGTAGGCCGCGCTTTAATGCATTCCTCAGCAGCTTGCAGCGGCTCAGTCGCATTTATTATGATTACGGATGATATTGCCCTTTGTTGGGCATTCTTTAAGTACATGGACAACCATCCAACCAGCCAGCCAGCCAGCATCTTGTGTATTTTATTATTATTATCGACGTCGTCGTCGGCGGTCGTTTCGTTCCTGTTGTTGTTTTAGTTGATGTTCTTGTTGTTGTTGCTGTTATTGCTGGCTGCTGCATTTCTTGGAAGGACACACAACACAGCACAGCACATATACGCACATCATATTCTTTGTGCATGTGTGTGCGTGTGTGTTTGTGTATTCTTGTTGGCGTCGTTTGCTTCTTCTCCCCATGTCCTTCTCCACTCTGTACTTCAAGTTCTGCGTGACGACGACTCATGCTTGATTGTCGCTCCCTCTCCTTATATCCCTCTCGCTCGCTCTTTCGTTTCATGCTGCTCCACTCGTTCGTATCTGGTATCACCGCATTCCAATCTCAGTTTAGAAGACAACAACAACAGCCGAGAAAAAAGAATGGTAAAGTGTTTATAATAGTTTCCCACAGTCTGAGGTTACACACACACACACGCTCAGAGAGATACGCTCACATATAGTAGAGTAGAGACCTTTGCTGGCTGCGGTTACCTTCACTTACAACACAGCATTGAAACTCCAATCCCCAAGCCCAGCTTTATAGCTATGCTTGGTTTCCAATCAGAAAACCAGCCAACTTCAGTTGGTGTTGTTTTGTTTGCATTTTGCGTGGCGCAGAGCAGAGTTTGTAGAAAAGTTGTTCAACTGCATTCCAATGCGCGCCTCGTTGGGTTCGTTTGGTTTGGTTTCAGTTTTGGTTTGGCTGTGTTGCATGGGGCGCACTCTGCTACTCTGTTTGTTGCCTTGCCTCCTGGGCTCTAGCTGTCTGTCTGGCCTTTGATTATGATTTTTCTTTACTTTGCAGCACAGTCAGAGTCTCTCTGTGTGTGTGTGTCTTTCCACTTTGGTATTTTCTTAGGTTCTCATGTCATTCATGCGCCCGGGAGGCCCTTTTCGGTATAGACGCTTCTGCGCTGTCAGTTCACATTTGTTGATGCACACAAGCGCATGTTTGTTTTTAAATTAAAGTTTATAAATTGTTACAAATACAAATACAAAATAATATAATATTGTGCTGAGCTAGCTGCCTTATCGATATATTTAGCGCGAATATATAGCATATGCCACTGCAGCCCTGGTAAGTGATTGCATTCATGATAAATGCAAATATTTTTGACATATGGCAACACTATTTATCGACTGTTGACTGCATATTGAACTTTTGCTTGCATTTCCTGCTAAAAGCAATGCATTTTAAACAAAAACACAAAATGCCAAAGCGCTTACATTACAATTGTTAATGGGCATGCATTCCGCAGCAATAAAAGCAACAGCAACAACTACAAAAACAACAGCAGCGAGCAGCTGTAATTGCAAGCTTCTGCACTTTGTACTTGGCAACAACAACAACAGCAGGCAGCAGCAGCAGCAGCGCAATTGAAGCAATGCAACAGCAACAACAACAATAAGAAGATGAAGAAGAAGAAGAACTGTAGCAACCATCCAGCAGCATCTCGAAGCTATCATCTTTGTCTGATTCTGTATTGCTGCCGCCACTGCGGACGCTGCTGCTGTTGCTCCACTTCAAAAACAATGCGCAATCTCTAGGGTAGAGAGAGAGCTCCAACGTCTCGGCCATTTGTAATTTACAATTGCTTTTGTTTTATTTTATGCTTTTATTTATTTTTGCATTTGGTGTGTACGCCCGTTTCTGTACGCCTTATTTTTTTTGCACTCTTTCTTTGCACCCAACCAGTGCAACTGTGTTAAGTCTGTATGTGTCTGTGTGTGTATGTGTCTGTGTGTGTGTGCGCGCGAGTGTGTGTACGA